CCTCCTGGAGGATTTGAACCGGTATCTTGTGATCTGACCTGTGGAGCACTAACCACTGTGCTATGGACCCACAGGTCATATTTTAAAAAAATATATAAATTAATATATAGAAATTAATAATATAAAAATAACTTTTAATAAAATATAATAAAGAAAATTATTTATTTTAGTTAAATTTAATACCTTGTTATTATTTAATCATTTTAATAAACTATTAATATCTATTATGTAAATCTTATTATTTCTTAGAAGCCAACTTGCTGATATATTATTATACTATATATTATTTTTATATATTTAAATTTTATTTATAAAAAACTTTTTTATAATTAAACATTATTTTTAATTTAAATTATATATTATATAATATATATTATAAAAGAAACAATATTTCTTATACTGTATATTATATAATGAATTAAATATTGACTTTTTTATAATAACCATATAATTAATATTAAAAAAAATATAAAAAAATATATTATATTAAATAATATTAAGCAATTATAAATATTTATTTAGTATTGGAAAAGATAAGGTTGAATAATATTAATATTAGATTTGTAGATATATTTGAAGTAGTTACAATATATTTATATTGAATAAATGAGTTAATGATATAAAGAATAAATCAATATGAATTTCTTTTTGAGAGATATTAATAATTTAAATTTCAAATAATAAGATAATTTTTTTTTGATTTGTAAGAATAAATTATATTAAATAATTTAATAAAAATTTTTTTATTTTAATAAATAATGAAATATAACTGTATTATATTGTAATTTTCAAATTAAAACATATATTTATATTAATGTTTCAATTGCTTTAGTTTAATTGATAAAGTCTATTGTAAAAATTATTTGTTTGATTGATTATATTATATGATAGTTTAATAACTTGTTATATTTGAAAGATTAAATTAAGATTGTTATTTAGATAAAGAATTGATTAATGAAATTTATAATTTGGTTGGCTTTTTTTGAGATTTTAAAGCATTTAAAAATATGTTAAATGTCATTAATACAAAATTCATATCTTGAATATTGGTTTGAATAAAGTTAATAGATTATTTGACAAATAAAAAGAGTTTATAATAGTAAATTAGATTGATTTTTAATGTTATTAAGATACTGTATTTGAAATAATTTAATTTATTATTTTTTTGTTAAAAAAATTAAATATTATATACAGTATAAATAATAATAATAATAGAATATATCAATAATTATGATATTTTAAAAACAAGTTTTTCCCAAAACTTACAATTTGTTATATTTATAAAAAAATATAATAAGATAATAAGGTAATATAATAAGATATTTTATTTTTACAATTATTATCAAAACTTAATATCGTAATTCTCAAATATATACCATTTATAAATAAAAAAAAAGTTTGTTGTTTTTTTAAATAAAACTTAATTCTAATTACCTTTTTATTAATAAGTCTTTTTTTATTAATTTTAAATTAATAATTTATATTATAATTTTTTCATGTGATTTTTACATTATTCTTTTTTTTTGAATAAGCAAATATTTAATATAGAAGGTTTGTATTAATTAAAAAATATTTGATTGATATTAAAAATGATATCATTAATCGGCTAAATATTTTTTATTAAAAGAATTGGTTTATATAAAATATTTACTTGCTATTATTATTTTTTGTTGTTGCTTTATGTATTACAAATCATATATTTTTCGAATTTTTTTAAGAATGAAATTCCAAATACTGTATATGATATGAAAAATCATGCGTCGTGTTTAGTTCATATTAATTTTATTTGACAACATTAAAATAATGGACATTCAGCTTGATTTATTATCTAATCTACCTTTTGCGTAATATTTAATATTTTTAAAAATGGCAGGCAGACTTCATATTAAAATAATTAATATTGTAATTGTTTATAAATTTTAATATCATGCTTAGTTAAAAATTATGATTGTTAAATATGAAAATTTATTATTATTATTATTATTATTCGTGAATACTCTAATTTAAAATGTTTGGAGTTAAGTGCAAACGATGAGTGAAAAGTTCAAAAATAATTAATTAAGTTGATGACTACAGTATATCGAGTAATATCATTTAAATGCTTGATTTATTTTTTAAAAAATATTATTATTTTAGAAAATATGTTATTCGATAAAAAGCAAAAAATCTATTGGTTTTATTTATTAAAAGATAAAAAGATTATTATTTTAAATAAAATAAAAAATGCCAGCCGAACCATAGAATCTTTTCAACATAAATGAAAGCAGGGCGCTTCAACATTTTTGTTATAAAGAATGACCTATGTGGTTTCTGACATGACATCAAAATTTTTCATCATTATTACATGGAAAACTACTATAGACTACTTAGAAATCATACCATATATTTAACTTTACATTAGTAAGCCACAAATGAACTTTCTCGGGCGCAAAATAATATATGGCTGTGTAAAAAAAACGGTCTACTAAGTAAACCTTTCCACTTCTCATTTATTATTACGCACAATCTTTTCCAGAAATAAAGCAAATAGTGCATTTCGCCAATGGAAAAAGGTGATCATGAGGTGTCTTTTGGGGAGGCCACCGAGGATCATCGTCACGAGATAATTCGAGAAGTTGAACTGAAAACAAATATCACGGCCTACTTGTATTTCGTTGTGATTACTGTGGCGCTCGGTGGGTTTACGAATGGGTAAGTACGCACATACAAAAACGTATTTTATTTTCGCCTGTCATTTGCTTCTTAAAGGTAAATTCTTATTTAGGTATGACGTGGGAATCCTGAGTAGCGCTATTTTAATGTTAGAAAAGGATTTTGTTCTGACAACTGTTCAAAAAGGGATCATCGTAGGAAGTAAATATCTCCAGTATACGTATCAGTACAGTATTTGGTCATGACGCACCGTTATTCATAATTCTATGTATGGTAGTAACCAATGCTGGAGGCTTTTTTGGTGGCATAATTGCTGGTAATAAGTCGTTCAATTGCGGGAACTATAACATATAACGTCTATATTCACCAGATATCAACTTCGACAACTTAGGATACATAGCTGATGTGGTCGGAAGAAAATCAACCGCCTTTCTCAACGCCATATTCTTTTTCACTGGCTACGTTCTATCATCCTTTTCAACAGCATTTCCATCACTTCTTATATGTCGATTTACTGTTGGTTTCGCCGGTGGCATCTCGTCCATGATTATTCCGACGTATATAAGCGAAATTTCGCCGGTATTTCATCGCGGAGAATTAGTAACTTGGAATAATCTGATGTATACGGCTGCACAAACTATTGCAATTTTAGTTAGCATTATATTTTCATCAGTCGGTGATTGGAGGTGGATGTTTCGTGCCTCTGCAATTATTCCGTTAATTCAGATTATTGGTGCTGTATTTCCTTTTTTTTTTTTTGGATCAGTCTTTCTGAGGATTTGACTGGACAAGGTCGAAACTTAAGCATTCTTTACATAGGTTTGTTCCTAGTTCCGGAAAGTCCTCGATTTTTGATAAAAAATGGAAAAAACGAAGAAGCCGTGGTTATACTGCAAGAAATATATCCAAATTCCTCTCGAGAGTTCTTGGAAGATGGTGATTAGTCCTTTGTTCAAAACTTATCGTTAATTATACCGTATGCGAGTGAATTTACCATTTATCTTTTCTCTTCAGAAATCAAGGTGATCCACCAAGCCGTTGTTGAAGACAATAAAGGATCTTATAAGTTGTTGCTCAAATATCCTTATAGAAGACCTCTACTGATCGCCTGCGGTTTGTTGATCATACAAGAATTAGCAGGATATGACACACTGATGTATTATGCAGTAGGTATTTTTAATGACTTGATTTATCAAAATGCAATTTTTTTATATAAAAAATGGTTAAATTTAGGCAACGATTATAAAAATAATCGGATTTGCTGCAACGACAACTGCCATAATATATTCTCTCGCAATTTCAGTGTCAAGTTTCATAATGCTTAGTAAGATCGGAATTCCGTTCATATTTCGATGATCATCAATTCTTTCCTTCCGCACTTTCAAAATTTAACATTTCAAAACTTTCGATCAGTGGTTTCTAAATACTGGATCGATAGAATAGGCCGTCGCAAAATTCTCTTGTCTTCCATTGCTGGCACAATCATAGGCCTTATCCTCCTCAGTATTGGATTTTCCTTTATCACAGGGTTTGTCACCAAACAATCGTCATGTATCAATTATGAAAAAGTATGTGGCGCATGTGTGTTAGACGATCGATGTATGTTTAGTAATTCAAACGGAGGAATTTGCGTGGATAAAAATTCGACTGTCAGTGTCACATACGGAACATATGATATTTGTATGGAAAATCACAAAGCTAGAGCGTGGTTTACGCTTTGTGCATTCACGCTATTTTCGATGAGTGAGTTGTGATCTTGCGTGATCATTTTCACATTTGTACAATCTGATTTTATTTCAAAGATTCATAATTCGACTACGATTAATCTTCTTTAGTGTATTCTCTTGGATTTGGAAATATCACATGGTTAATCCAAAGTGAAATTTATCCACTAAACATCAGAGGCAGGGCTACGGGGATCGGAGCAGGTAATTTTTTAAGGTGATGAATGCTTATTCTATATATATATATATATATTTATTTAAAAAAATGTTTTAATATAAGTTATCATTTACTTTCTCAAATAGCTGCAAACTGGGGTATGACAGCAATTGTATCAATGATATTTCTTCCGTTAGCTGAAGTCATAACGATACCAGGTTTACATGAAATCTTTTATCTTTATCTGTCCGTCATTTGTTCATCATGATGCTTATCAATTATATTAATATCTCATAAACTAGGAATATTATTGCTATTTGCATTATTTTCATTATTGGGTTTGATATTTGTTTATCGTTTTTTGCCCGAAACTGTCGGAAAATCTTTAGAAGAGATTCAGGATTATTTTGTGAGCCCCATCCTTTGTTACATGTCAACCTCGGTAATAAATGCTATTATTTGTACTTACTATTGGTTTTGTTTCTGATCTAATTAGACAAGGAAAGACTGAATGCGACTAGACAATGACAAGATAAAAGATGCGAATACACTAATGCGCACCGAAAGACCCGAGAGTTGAGGTTTTCGTATGTGACATTCAGGCTTGATAGCAAATTAAAGAAAACATTTGGTATGTGAAACTTATAACGGAGAGAAACTATTTCTCCATTTTCTTTGATGCAAACCCCATAAATGCATTGAATATACGATTGTGTGGCCTGTATTTATATCATCGAGTTTCTCTCGGATGATATTAATAAGGATGTTAAAATTGCAATATTTTAAAATGAATTTAAAATCAAAGTCTTTGTATTGAAATTATCTTTTTGCATGAATTTATAAATCATTATAACTCGAAATTATGTACTGTATATTAATAAATTAGCAATAGGTACCGATTATCCAAAAAAATAATTTTCAACAATTAATATTGTATGGTTATATTTCAATCTAATAAATGGTCTTTGTTAAAAAAAAACTTATAATCTTAGATAAAAAAAAATGCATCTTAAATAAATTATATCTCAATAACAAATTTCATAAGAAATATTAATTAAATTCATTATTTTATTAAGCATATATACTTTTGTATATTAAGTAGTATAATATAGACTGCAAAATAGATACATAGTGAAAGTTTTGTTATTTTTGAACAAAGTTTTATTGTTAACATTTAGGGTTTACATATGTAAAACTTGGTAATATAATAAATTATTTATTTTATTCACTTTAATTCTGTTAGTTAATGAAAAAATGAAAAAAAAGCCTATGAAAAAAAAATAATCCTCCAAAAAATTAAAAAAAAAATTAAAAAAATTTAATTAAACTATACAGTACATTGCAAAACTTTTGAAATTTTATTTATATGACATAAATGTAAATAACTTTTTCAAAACAAAAACAATTCATACATATGGTAAAACTCTTTCCCACATGAAATAAATTGCCTTTTTAGGAAATTCTTGAAAAGCAACAAGAAAGTGAAAAGAAAAATGGGAGTCAGTCAAGTAACAACTTCAAGTGCGGGAAGAGGAAGAGATACAGAAAGGAAAACAATAAATGCTACTAAAGAAACAAGAGTAATGGCAACTATTATTGCCAAGAGAGGGCCAGGTAAACTGAAAGTTTTGACAAAGAAAAAAGAAAAAAAATACCAGTACGGGCAGCAAGCATGGATACGGGAAAAGGGAAAAACAAAAAAATCGAAGAAGAAGAAGAAGAAGTAGAGTAAGAAATGCAAGAGGCAGTCAAAGAACAAAAAATGGAGATTGAAGAGGAAGAATCAGGAACAAAAGAAGAAAACGGAAATATCATAGGACCAGACATTAGAGCAAGAGAAATGGGATCATACAAAGAGAAAACAAGTGAGAAAAAAAAGGAGGGCAGCCAAGAGAGGTGCAAAGAAAACCAAAACACGCATGTGAACTAGAGTTTGCAGCAGGCACAGAATCAGCAAAAATGCTCGAGATGGTAGAGGAAGCATGTATAGTCTTTGACTCTTTCCTGGGGGTGAGAGTGGAAAGAGAAACAGCAGAAAAAAAGAAAGCAATCATTGCTATTTTTGGTAATTTCATTGATATGCAGGAGGTACTGTATGTGACATTAACTTTGGTACAGACAAAAATAAAGAACACCTAATTCTGGTGGAACAAAGGAAGCACCAATCAGAAGAAAAAAATACAGTAATAGTTAGGGACATTCTCCTTTTGACAAGTAAGAGGCAATCAAAGCAACATTAAGAAAGTATGGGGATATCCATAGTATAGATATTCGATCAGTAGAAATATGATTAACAGCAACAGTGACTTTTAAGGAAGAAAAAGACGCACAACTCAAGCTAAGATATGGTCAATTCCATTCAAAAAAAAATACCTGAGAATACTTCCAAAATGGGAAGAGAAAGAGGAACTAGTAAGAAGATCCAAATACGTACTTAAATTGACAGGATTGCCAGCAGGTACTACTGCATATGATTTAGAAAAAATTGTATGGAGACTAAAAGGAAAACCCTGTATATTCCAAGAACAGGCAGATACTTTAGGGAAAGATTTGCATATATAGCATTTGAAACAGAAGACCAATTAAAAGAAGCAAAGAAATAAACTTTCAAATTGGATAGAACAACAATCAATTTTATGGACCAATATGAAAGATTATGTTATAAGTGCGGGCAGAGTAGACACATCGCTTTTCAATGTGAAGAGGTGAGAATCCAAAGAGATAGATCGATTGCCCAAGCAAAATTTGAATCAATCCAATTAGGATTTAGAAAGGGACCAGAAAAAGAAGCAATAATATCTTTCACAGAGATCTTGAGAAAGCGTAGCAGATCCAGATCAGTATACAAAAAAGAAAATGGAGAACAAGAAGGAATCAGAAAGCGATTAAGCAGTCTAGAAGAAAAAATCAAGAGCATGGAAGACAAAATCAACACCCTTTGGAAGTGGTAAATAGTGAATCAGGAAGAACAAAAAGAAGTAGAACACAGTAGGGAAAGAAAAGAAGAGCAGCAAACACAATAACAGAATACAGAGAAAATGAATATCGAGGAAGATGAAATCCCCTTGGAAACATATAAAGCAATCAATAATAAAGTAGCAGAAAGACAAGACAAACTAGAAAAACAAATCAAGCAAATGGGAAGAATGCTAACCGAATTGTTAAAAAATGGCCAGTCAGCAATCACAAAAATAAAACAGTGTTATGGGAACAATAGGGATGAGAACGCGATATTGTGGCGCGTCGCGTAATAATAGTGTCAGTGATGATAGAATGATGTAATAATTAGCAATAGCAAGCAATAGGTGTTTACACATTAAGAAGGCATATAAATAGGATAGTTTTGGAGATAGTTTCAAAAGACAAGTTCTAAGTTTCGTTTTAGAACACTTCTCTGTTTTTGCACACTCGCGCTTTTATTAAATAAATACTATTTCGCTTCGCACAATAAACAAGATACATTCTTTAAAAATATAAACTAAGTCTGTGCCACTACCGTAAAGTAAACGTCTTTGAAAAGGAGAGACGCGACGTTACTTTTGCACCGTAAGAGAGTGACACCTGTAATCTTGAGACGCGCCTAAAGGAAAGGACGGTCAAGAAGAAATTGGCAAGTGCGCGAAAGTCGGCCAAATTGTAACCACCTCGGAGTTAAAGCCTTACCTTATTTTAGTGCCATAATCCAAGCGTTCGGATTATCGTCATGCGAAGAGTGCTCCATTTTAGCGACAGACTCGCCGGTGACGACAACAACAGCAGTCGCAGAGACAATAGGGAAAGAAGCGCACTATAACAATTATAACAAAATATGACATTACAACACGAAAACAACAAAAATAACAAAAACATCAACATGTATAAAGAAAAAAGAACAAATATGGAAAATATAAGAATTGGGACAATAAACATGAATGGATTAAATGAAGAGTTTAAAAAGCAACAACTGCAAAACTATTATCACCAGAACAACATAACTATAATGGGAATATCAGATACCAAATTCAAAAAACAACAAATAAAAAAACAATGGGAGACAATAAATACAAGACATTTTGGATGCATACAGAAAAACATTCAGGAGGAGTGGAAATAATAGTGCAAAAAGACTGGGCCAAACATATCAGAAAAATAACAAGATGGCAAGGAAGGATCCTGGCTATGGAATTAATATTCAAG